TTCAAAAATGTATTGCAGTTAAAAACAAATGTATAGACTACTGATTTTTGTTTAGCCATGAGATGTGTTATAATTATTTTGTTAATTGTTACATCAATTCCGGACCTTTTTTCTGCTGGACGATTTTTCTTCTTTTTATTTTTTATATTAAAACCAGAAGTTTTGTGTCTACATGGTGTAATATGAAAGCTTATTGAATATATACACTTACCATATATACAAAGTTTTATGGAAATGAAATATAAAATTTTGGGAAACCATTCTTGAGTATCCCAGAATTTTTTGCGTAGACAGTAGCTATTTTACCCAAATCAAAAACTGGATAATAAACTAGGATATAAAGAGAGTATTTTATAATCAAAATATTGTCTTCAGCACTGTTAACTCATAATATGCCTCTTATAGTTAAATAAGATGACAAAAGCATAGGTTTCACAAATCTGATCTTAAATGAAAATTTTCTATTTAAAGAGAATATGTCTCAGAGGATCGATTTCTAGTTTTTTTTTTAATTATAATTTATACTCAAATGTAGTTAACTGACTCCATTGTTTCTAATGAATCTTCTACATCGATTTTTTCTTTATAAAGACTCTCAACAACATTTCTTCAGAATTGAAATTAATCGGACTTTCAAGCTGACTAGAGATTCCATCCAAAAGTGGAGTTTTAACTTAGTTATTATTTTTCTTGAAACGTATATATTTGATTGAAATGAATAAAATGAAAAAACTATCCAAATATACAAATGTTTTTTTCATTATAATATTAACACTAACTCATTCATATTGACAGGGATATGTAAGCATCTATTTTTATTTGATCAAACTTGAACAGGTATAATAGTTGAAACATTTTTTACGCATTTGTTTATGCCTTTTTTGGACCATTTGATATAACTGAAGTTTCTTTTTCAAAAAAAAGTAAAACAAAGAAATAAAATATACGAAAATACAATTTCATAATTACTGTATGAAAAATAGCGTATGTTAGAAAAGAAAATAATGAAGCAAATCATAGACTTTGATGGTGCTATCGATCAATTAGCATAATAAAATTCCATGAAATCAATATGCATCAGAAGAAACAAGCAAATCTTATTTGATTAGAACAATCATTTATTGTAAGAAGAGAAAGTCCAACATAAAATAATACCATACCACCACGAAGAATAAAACCAATGAATTAAACAATATAGTTTATGCTACCTATATAATGTAAAGCAAAATTAATATTTGTTCATTAAAATTCCATAGGGAGTTGTTGCAATCTAAAGACTACACACTGATATAATATCATGTTCTGAAAAGAACCACTAAAAAAGAAAAGTTCTAAGATTCATACGGTGTTTTCCATTTAGATTTCTTATTGTTTATCGTAGGATGCCCACATTGATTGAGCTGTGGATGTGGGGTGTGAGTGTCCATGTTGATGAAAAGATGCGCAACCACACCGACTGCCACTGTCACTCACACCCACACTGACACCAGGGTGTGGATGCTGACATGGGATTGACTGTGAGTATGGCTGTACCCACGTAGACAAACTTTTGAGAAAACGCGTTTAAACGCACAGAAATTGGTCTAAAGTCGGCAAAAAGTGGACTTTTTTGACACAGACTCACGATTCCTAACTGTGAGTCAAAAACATCCATTTTTCGCCCTTTTTGTGCGTTTAAGCCCCCCCCCCCCCCCCCCCAATAATCGATCTCAGCCCAAGAACGTCCAAATGACCTCAAAATTCGAGGATATATTGAGTCTGAAGTGATGAAGCTATGATGAAATTTTCAGCCCGAAATTATGACTTTTAATGAAGATATTGAACAAGCAATGGTGAGAAATAGATGATTTGCCATCCCAAATTTCTCGATCCAGATTCGTCCAATATATTTAAATTTTGTTTTTGTTTGAAAGAGCATGTCAAGATGCAGGGCATGACGAGGCCTAATTTTTTAAATGCCCACTGTTCAAGCTCAAAAAAGGAATCGAAAGTTTGATGACTGAAAAAACCCTAGAAAAAATGCTGTCAATTTATATAAATACCTATATATATATAATAAAAAAAGGACTAATTTAAAAAATCGAGGCTCATCATGCCCTGCATCTTTACATGCTCTTTCAAACAAACAAGAATTTAAATTTATTGAGTGGACTTGGACAGAGAAGTTTTGGATGCGCGTTTGAAATAGTAAAAAATGAGAAAAAACGAAAAAGAGTTTTTGATTTTTCAAAAAACCGCTGGTTTTTCGAATAGGAGGTCTCAGAAAACTTGAAAAACTTTTGGGAAAAACAAAGTACCGAGGAAAAATTTTTATCGTTTATGAAAGAGCAAATGATGGGCTATCTCTCCATGCATTTATCTCAATTTGGAGGATTCTGATGAAAACTGACTTTTTTGAAAAAGGGGAGGGGGAGCGACGGAGCAAGGGCCTTCAACGCGTTTTCAGACAAGAAAAGCGTGTACACGTATACAAAAAAGAGAAAAAAGTTGTCGTGTTTTTCCTACTCGAGAAACGTGACTATAATCATGATCATGCATCTTGAATATGAGAAAATGACCGCTTTTCTCTTTTTTGTATGCGTGTACACGCGTTTCTTGTCTGGAAATGCGTTTAAACGCACAAAAAGGGCGAAAAATGGATGTTTTTGGCTCACACTCTCGGTTCCCGACTGTGAGCCAAAAACGTCCACTTTTGCCGATTTTAGAACAATTTTTGTGCGTTTAAGCGCGTTTTCTCAAAAGTTTGTCTGCTTAGGTAGATGTGAGTGTGGGTATGGGTTTCGATGCGTTTGTTGTCGTAGCTGTGAGCGTGGATTGGGTGTGAGTGTGCCTATGATTGTGGTTGTGGATTGGATGAGTGTGGGCGTACACTCTAAGACAGAAATGTTTTTCACGAAATTTTAAAAGGTTCTTCTTGAGGATACAAACTCTGAATCTTTTTTTGGTTTCATACAAAATAGCTTCCGGATCAAACCACTTCTGGACTGCTGTAATAAAGGTTTCGTATCAAGCATTTCTGTACTGATTCCTACATAGATAACACTAGTCATGTCTATTTACCCCTATGTCTTCATTTTTATCTATCAAGTCGTATTGCTATTCTTCACCATGTGTAGTCATGTACAACCTCTCATACCTATACCTAACCACTTATTTCAATGCCTAAACTCTTTATCCTATAGTTAACCTGTTATATATCTATTTAATCCCTTGTACTACCTCCTTCCTTATTCCTTTAGTTAACTCGTTACAGCTGCACTTAACCTATAACCATGCTCAATCCTTATTCTTGTACCAAACTCATTAGGACTACATCGTGATATCTATAACCTTGCGCCTATACCATCAGCCATAAATCCTTATACCTGTGCCGTATTAAGTATACTTTTTTAACTATATCTTTAGGCATATCCCATCACACGTATATCCTTATGTGTGTATCCTTAGGCACAAACCCTTATGGCTCTAGTCCAATACGTATACATTGAATTTGATTCTTACTCTTTATAAGGCCAATCTACGAGAGTAGAGTGCCAATGTGTGCACCAGAAGTGAGAAGAGTAAAATGAAAAATAGTGACAATAGCAACGGTTCTCTATGCCTAAATCCTTTAAAGTAATAAATTGATTGTAACAACTTCCAATTGCATTATCTCTTAAGCATTGTAGTGGTTCATGATAATGGTAGACAAGCAGAAAACTCATTTTCATGTTTATCTATCGTCTAGGTCAATCGGTTTACATAAAGCATTTAGACCTGCGGCTCATGCAAATGATTTTGTATAGAATCTGTTGCTTGGTACCTACATAGAAAAAGGTTCAAAAAAATCCTTTGACATCAATTGTTCGCGTAGAAATTTGTGTAGAATGTATACAGAATCTTTGTATTTTTTCAAGGCATGATACTCTCTTACATTTTATGGAACTCTGAAGGGTTTCATAAGGCCATTATGAATCCTTGTATTGTATCAACTAGATACCGTAATTTTCTTTAAAAAAATACGAAACTTTTGTGTATCGGGCGAAACTATCGAAAGTTCTCTACAAATCATACAAAACCATTTCTTATCTCACTAACCCATACGAAGTTTTGGTAATGAAGATATGAAACTTTTAAAGCTCAGTAATAAATCATTTCTTTTTATATTGTAGCTCTGCTCCGATTCGAAAGTGACAACCACATCTTTCTCTTGAATTTTGGATTCATTTCTTGAAATTTACCTATTTATTATATCAATATATGTTGAGTGGTTTGAAATGCGTTTTTTATTTTAAAACAACGCTAACAATCAACATATGCGCTTTCTTCGAGAGTTATTTGTCTATCTAAAGTTAGTATGCTGCTTTTGCATTCTTACAAAAGACATACACAGTACTTATGGCTCGTCAATTAATCAAATAAAGTCCATAGGAGCGAAAGATATAAAAAGAAAGATTGTCTAAATAATTTATTTCTTTCAATTGTGTCTAAAGCACTTGTCATTCTTAATGATGTATTGCTATCGCTCTTTAGTAGTATTACCAAGTCGTCAATATCAATAGATTTATGGATCATGATAAGAGCTATGACATACTGTACTTCATGGTAATTTACGATTAATTCAAGTGACAAGGTAATAAATTATCGGTATATACGATAAAAAGAACGGATAAAACGAGTATGCATACTTGTTCCTTCATTAAGAAATCGACTTTCACGTTTGAATCACAATCAATGTTGAAAAAGGTTGAGTTTTCCGACAGTTGCTACTCAATTTTCATTTTAACTACGATCAATTTTAGGTTTTTCTATTCGGTGCGTCCTTCTTGTTAGGTGCAATCATTGTACTGATACCTTGTGTTGTGGTTATCACTCGACGTTCCAATGTATGTTCTGACCCAACAACACCTTTAGTAACACCAGGAACGACATCCCTAGTAACGACAGGAACGGCGCCTTCAATAACAAGCAGCATGACACTGTCAACGACAGGAGGAACGATGCTTTCAACGTCGACAGGAATGACGACCTCAATGCAAACAGAAACGATACCTCCTACAACAACAGGAACGACTTCGCCTACAACTCCGGCATGGAATGAAAGTGATTATCAATCCAACAGTGAATACTATGAGTCATTAAGTACACGTAATTTTAATCAATCGGACAATCTTCGTTTGGATCGTTTGTCATCGCCTCAGTTTCATCCAATTGATGGAAGAAGTATAATCTATTTAAGACGGCAGTCTCATATGCCTGATTTACGTGGATCAACAACAACTTTGCATTGGCTCGATTTAACAACAAACACATCTTCTGTCCAATTGACGCGACCTATTTGGGGTATTCATGATCAACAAGTAAGAATAGAACTATTTGGTATATTTATTTAAACTGTTTTTCTTTTCTTCAGTTCTTTTGGGTCGACAGTAATACGATTCTCTTCTTGTCTAACCGAGCATCATCAGGTCTTAGTCAAATTTTTCAACTGAATCTTCCTGCGAATTTATCAACGAGAACAACTTTCATTGAACCGATTCAAATAACAAATTATCCGTTAAATATCGATAATCTATTGGTTAATCGACAAGCTTCACGTCTGGCATTCAGCTGTCAAGTCTATCCAAACTTAACGATCGAGCAAACAGTTGCTCGACAAGCAGCCGAGAAAGCTAGTGGTCGGACGATTTATCAATTTGATAAGCTATTCATTCGACATTGGGATGAGTATAGGACAGGTCCACGGCACCATCCATTTGTTGCTTCGATCAGACGAGAAAGCAATGAAATATTCAACTTTTCATCGAACCTGATTGATGTACTTTTTACTGTGGACAGTGATTCACCAACACGACCTTTCGGTGATGCTCACGCTCAATGGTCATTTAGTGCATCTGGTAATTCGTTTGCATTCACTCGACAACACGATGAAACGAGTGCAGTAGCTTGGTCAACCAATTTAGACATATATACACTTGATTTGAGTACACCTGGACAATCTATTGATTGTATTACATGCGACAACGATGCAACCGATACGGATCCATCTTATTCACCAACAGATGATAGTATATTGGTCTATCGATCACATACAGTTCCAGGATACGAGTCTGATCAATACAAAATTAAAGTGTACAATAGTCAGTCATGTTAATTTTTTGGTTTAGTTCAACTTGCTTTCTGTTTTTTCATATTTTAGGATCGAATACGAAAATAACTCTGCTCGACGATTGGGATCGAAGTATTCAAGCTGTGACATGGTCTTCCGACGGTCAATCTCTTTATCTTGAAATCGGCGAAGAAGCAAGTAATGTTATCTATCATTTATCCGATATATTTACGAATCAATCGGTTATTCGTCTTATTGACAACGGTACTGCGCGCGCTGTTAACCCTCATCCGGTTGACAATGAAAAATTTGTCTTCACTCATGGAAGTATTCTCAAGCCAACCAACATCTATCTGTATTCGTCAAATGCACCGATTCAACCCCTTACTGAACATAACAATGTTCTATTGTCTAAAGTAATTATAAGTACTACGGCCGAGAAATTCTCATTTACAGGTGCTCTCAATGAGACCGTTTGGGGATGGCATGTGCCCCCAGTGAATGGCACACCCACTCCAGCTCCACTTGCTTTTCTTATTCATGGTGGTCCGCAAAATAGTTGGTACGATAGTTGGGGTTCTGGATGGAATTTTCAATCCTTTTCTTCACAAGGCTATGCTGTCATTGCCATCAACTTTCACGGCTCCGATTCGTACGGACAAAATTTTACAGACAGTATCACAGGTGAATATGGTTCTTGGCCTTATGAAGATCTTAAGTTGGGACTCGATTATGCTCTGGAAAATTTTTCTTATATTGATCCGAACCGAATGGTAGCATTAGGTGCTAGCTATGGAGGATATATGATCAACTGGATTGCTGGACAGCCTGAAATGAGTCGTCGTTTCAAAACGCTCATCAATCATAATGGTTTATTTGATATGAGAGCTATGGGTTATTCCACAGAAGAGCTATGGTTCACTGAACATGATGCAGGTGGTTTCACTCCATATGAAAATCCAGAGGCTTACGAACGTTGGAATCCAGTCAATCATGTTGCAAATTGGACTCAGCCAATGTTAATAATTGTTGGTGCTCATGACTATCGTGTACCAGAGACACAAGGAATTGGTGCCTTTACAGCGTTGCAGCGTCTTAATATCACAAGTCGATTACTCTATTTTCCCACTGAGAACCATTGGGTACTAAACCCATTGCATTCTGTTGCCTGGTTTGAGCATGTCCTTGGTTGGATGGATAGATGGACAAGCTAGATACATCCTATAGTTCTTCAATCAATATTGTGGTAGACTTCATATTAGAACACTTCGTTCATTCGACTCTATATTTTGCGACCTATCGAACAAAATAATGTGAACAATGATGAGGTTTTGATTTTTCAGCATTGAATAAATGCATTGTTTTTTGTTCGTCAACATGTTTTTTTTATTAATTATACCCACGACAATGATTCAAATTTTAGATTAAGAGTCTCAAATCTCTCACATGCAAGAGAATGTTTGCTTTATTGTTACCATTTAACTGCGACGTCAACTTGATTATCCGCACCATTGATAATTAAATATACACATGTTCTAGTATTGATTTTGTCAAAGACGTTCCTTCAGTAATATGAGCAATTATTTTAATAGTGCACAATATCTTGCATTACGGTTAATTAATTAATGTGTAAAACTTTTGATTTGTTAGTAAAATCGAAATAATACATCCTAAGAAAACAAATCAATAGATGCCGATCATTGCTATCATCAACAAATGAGAAATCTGTTCCATGGTCCAAAGTGCATCTAGATCTAGAAGCTTTATATTCTATGTACTGTGGATTAGGCAAGAAACAAGAATTCATGCTATTAATCGACTGAGTGTAGGTGTAGGTCATAGGCTTTTTTCAGTAAACTAGATAGAGATTTTTGTTTCGAGAGTTTAAATTAAATAAAGACCAATGTTGACATGTTTCTTTAAGTGTATGTTTTGTTTATACAAATTGCAAATTATTTTCCGAGTCGTATCATCTCTATATAGTACTCTTTCACGATTATATGTCTGAACTGTTAAAACCATGAAAATCAATAAAATTGAAAAAAGATAGACTACCTTCAGTACCTTAAAGGTTGATAAAGCATCGACATAAGTGCCAGTGAGAATTGACTGGTTTTAAAAGTTCAACGGAACTTGACCTGTAACTGGTGGTTAAAACCTTGGTGCAAGCCGAAATAACAAAGCAATTCAACTCTCAACTTGCAATTCATTTCAAAGAAATTTTATCGAATCTATCCACATGAATGCTATTGTTTTCAACGGTTGTGTCAGATGCAATAGATAAACGTTGAAAGTCGTCTTGCAACTACGATAAGTAATTAATACATTTTTAGAAAAAATTAATAAAAGTAAATGTGTTGCCTGCAATTATGATTCGGTTATTCTTATTTTCATTTATGTTCTCTTCGATGCTCAATAAAATCCGATAGATAACTGGTTCTAGTCTATGCTCATTTCAGAGTCAATTAGGTTTAGATATCATTCAATATATTGGAAATTATTGTATATCTGTTTCACTTATCATACCATTTGATTCATAACTAATTGCACGCAGTTCTCTCATATTCTATAGTGATTAACAGAGTGCACTCGAATAGATCTTATCTTGACAAAGGCAAACAGCCGATGTCAATCATTCATTCTAGTTTTATTCTTCTTCCTCAACATCTGTCGAACTGAGCCAATATATCCTGAATTGCTCTACAAAACTAAAATTCGGCAATTGCGAATAGATAGTTTTGAATCTCATTGTCACTATTTTTCTGTTTTAACTTTTCATCATGTTCATATCTATGTTCCGTATTGTTTTCGAACGCCGAATGTTTCAATGGTACACCCAAAACAAGGTGAATCGTTTGCGTCCCTGTATGAACGAAATCGAACCAGTTCAGAACTTTTCTTTCAACGAGTTTCGCTTGATACCATCGAAGACTATGAGATCTATGCGCCTCATTGTCAATTGAATAGAAGCAGCCCTATTTCAGGCGAACAACTCTATTACCAACGTGAACCACCGTCATTTGGTGATGCCTGTGAGTATCGATTTTTATCAAATGATAAATTCATGGAAATAGTGAAAGAAGCTTTCTTTTGGAAACGATTCGATCTTCCGTCGGATGTACTTTTAATTACTAATGGAACTTGTTATGAAGGACTTCAGTGTCAAGAAAACATCGTCTGTTTAGATTGGAGAGAAATCTGCGATGGTAAGTCTCCTTGTCATAGGTGCTATAAAGCGCACAGTTCTATCTTCGATGTTGTTTCGTAAAATCGAGTTGGTTTTCTTTCACAGGATATATCCAATGTCCTGATGGCCAAGACGAAGAACGTTGTCATGAATTGGAGATGAATGAGTGCGACTCATTGACAGAATATCGATGTAAAAATGGTCATTGTATTCCGTAAGAGTTCTTCTTTGATCGTATACCCGATTGTCTTGATAAAAGTGACGGAATTAGTCAAGGTATAGAGTTCTGTCATGTTGATATGCTGTGGAACTGTGAAGACAGCTGCTGTGTTTCATATTACAATCATTGGATCTATGGCGCGATAATGACATTCACCTGTGGTGACGGTCAGTGTCGAGAAATGAGTAATGTGGATACAATTCAATCAGTATCGAGTCTCAGCAATATTGCTTGTGGTAATGGTCAAGATCTGCTCTATACGCGAGAACTGTTCTCATCCGATGATGAATGTTTTGAACACATCAAATGTACATTTAAGTTTCATTTGTTTCGAAACGAATGCCAGAGAAAATGCATTTCACAATTCCAATGTAGCAATCGAATACTGAACGTATGTGCTCATCGTTCCTATGTTATTTTTCCACCGAAACCTATCTTTGATAATCATGTATTCTTTATTTATGAACTCAATCGAACGATATTCTAGTTCAGCAATTATATTCCATCGTTGATTTATTTCGATTCAAAACGATGTTCACAGTATCAGACGACGATAAACATAGATGATCGAGAGTGTTCGCTTGTGAAACAATTCAAAGAATTGCATGATTTAGGTAATTCGATAAACTGGAGAGATATTTACATAGCTCTCTATACCATTTTTGGACGATGTGCTTTACTAGGTAGAAATCTATCAAATAATCAACAATTTTCTTATCATGAATTAGTTATGATTCAGAAAGCACGTTCCATAGCAAAAGTCATAGTATCATCGGTTTTGACTAGAAGAATAGACATAGTCAATTTTTTGACAAAATAACAGTATCAACTATTTTCATTACAAAACTGAGGATTGTGAAAGGACCAAAATCTCGTAAAGAGAAACTTCTTATCGAAAAAGAAGCTGACCATTTTGTATGTTTCCACAGGCATCTAAAAGTGACTGCAAAATCTTTTTTTTTCTATCTTGCAAATACTAATATGCTAGAATCAAGTGGAATTCTTTTTTTTCGTCCATCCACTATCGTGAAATATCTTCTTTTGACTTGATTTTATGGTATAGGATTACTATCCAGCAATAATTCGTCATGTAATCATACATCATTATTCCAATGTTCGAATTCGTCCAAATGCATCTCTCGTCATCGAGTGCAAGATGACTCGATTGACTGTTTTATGGCTGCAGATGAAATTTTCCATGGTATGTGCGATCAATTGTCGCATCGTTTTCGTTGTAGTGTTGATCAACAATGTCTACCACGACGGTTTCTTCTGGATTTTACACTACATTGTGCGGATGGTTCAGATGTAGCTCTAGGCTTTAGATGCACCAAGTCGCTAAGTGAAAATTGCGACATTCTTGCAGGACGTCTCGAAATAAATAAAGAGACTACGTTTGCTTTCATATGCAATGGTATCCAAGAAATTCGACCAACATTCATTGGAGATGATACAGACGAGACCAATTGTGATGACTATTCTAGCATGACGCGTTATACACTTTGTAATGGTGTTTGGAATTGTGTAGATGAACCTGATGAACTTTTCTGTGAGAATACTTTGTCATCCACCTACTGTAATGTGCAAAAAGGTGAATTTTTTGCCTTCAATCAATCAATCATATGATTAAATATTGCACATCGGTGCAGAAGAGCAATGATTCGGAAGTTAACTGTCTCGGTTCGAGCGATGAACGCGAATTCTGTCGCAAGCTTCATCGATCTAAAACATTTTATGCAGAGACACTTTGTATATGGCGAGGAAGTTTAATTAGATGAATTCTATATTGATTCAATTCTTTTGAAATCTTCTTATTTGATAGGTTTGAATGCTTCAATCTGCATCAGTCCATTGCAAGTTTGTGATTGTCATTCGGATTGTCCATTCAATGATGATGATGTTCAACCGTTATGTCTGTGGAATAATGGTCGATGTTTAGAAACAAACTTTTCTTGCTATATTGCTTTGCAAGACAAGCAATATAGCGTCCCTCGAAACCAGCACTATGATGATGCAGCAGATTTTATCAATGCCCGGGACGAATGGCTATGTGATCTGATGGATCAGAGTGAAATTCGTACATTTACATCAACGAATCTCCTTGATTTCGTACCAATTCTTTCACAAAGTGCTCAAACTCGATCATTGCGAAATATTACGCTTAATTGGTATTGTAATCGAGGTATTCTGATCGAATCTCCAACCGATAACGAAGAATTCAAATGTCTCTGTTCACCAGCTTATTACGACGATCGATGTCAATATTAGAGAAAGCGATTAAATATCATTCTCGAGCTTCAAGCATACACAATGATCGAACAGACCAGTATGTTCAAACATCGTCTGGCAATATTACGTATTCTACGGAAATAATCTACTTACCTTCCATCCAGTGTCTACCTAAGTATATTGTCGGTTTACTTTATCCATTGTCTTGGCAAAATACAGATGAATATCATGTTCGTATCGGCATCTATCATATGACTCAACAGAACCAACATAATTGAATATCAAGGCTCTTATTATTTTTCAATCAAATTTGACTTTCTTCCGGTAAATCGTCTGGCCGCTCAACTCTCTCTGTTCGAAAATAGTCATACGAAGATCTTTATGAATTGTGCTTATTTGCCGTGTGTTCATGGCACATGCGAATTATATTTGAATCAGCCGCAACAGTATTTTTGTCATTGTGAACCGTCTTGGTTTGGACGTCTTTGCAATCGTGAAAGTGCTGAAGGATGTGACTGTGCTCCAGAATCAATTTGTATTGCCCCTGGAATTTGTCTTTGCCCGATGAACAAAATTGG